TGCCCTATTATTGTGTAGTTGCCTCCCCCCCCCCCTCCACCAGTGGCATAGCGGTAATTCTGAAGGCTTACAACGCCAAAAACCAGGTTTCGATACCCGTAATGGGCACAACACAGATAGCCTATTGTGTAGCTTTATGCTTAACTACAATTGATGTTGTTTGTTAACAATTTAAATGTATATATTTTAACTTGAAATGAATAACTGACGATAGAAGTAAGTTAATAGAATAGTAAGTTAATATAATGTTTTAGAGTTTGTGTACTAATCCGAGACTATTTATACTTTATAAATGTATACACTATTCCGATCTTATGGCAAGACAGTAACAGCTTGCCACTGAAATGTTGTTTTCTTAAAAAAAAAATAATAATTATTAGACTAAATGTAATAACAAAATAAGAACTGATATTAGATGTGTTGTTGTTGTTTGAAACTAAGCACCAAGATGGGCTATCTGTGCTCTGCCCACCATGGGTATCGAAATCCAGTTTCTAGCGTTGTAAGTCTGCAGACATAACGCTGTGCCACTAGTTGACAGTATGTTAATTGCATAGAGATTAGACATGTATTAAAACCCAGAACCGGGCCGAAACAACGTACTAAAATCTGGAACACAGATTTATCACATAAAAATGAACTAAACTGAAAATAATATCTAAAGAAACGTTTTATAGGTTCCTTTAAATATAGAACATCAGACAGAAACATCATGTCTTTTTATTTCTTTTTCCCAAATTCCGGAATAGTATATAAAAATCTAAGTAACGTACGGTATTTGTTTTTCAACGAATCTTTTAAAATACATGCAATGTGTACGCTAATTCCAAAATGTAAACATTCGTTTTATTAATTTTTAAAGTTATAAAACGGAAGAAAATAATGAAAACATTGGTAGTGCTTTTAAAGATAAATATTGTCTAGTATAAAAATACCTTGTATAAATAGATGGGGTATGGAAAGCATGCAGGGAACAGTTGTGTTTTTGACACGACAGCTTTACAATATGTCAGTATGTACGGTCATCAAACAAAGCATGATCAGACTAGGCGACAAATACTGTAACGACGTGGTGAGGCTCTGAAATCGCTTTAATATAAAGTACTCAGCACAATCTCTTTCCATTTGACATGCTTTGAAAACAGCCGTAAATGAAAATGTAATAAGTCAATAGAAAAGAATTTGTTTCAGAATCTGGTACAAAGCTACAGACATCCTAATTTGGAAATGCTAAACGTATGGTACGCTAACTTTTTAAGCCCCCCCCCCCCGTAGGACCTATTTCTATATGTTCTGCACGCGTTATTTTCACATGTTAATTGTTGTTACTATATTACTTAATTATAGTAATATTTGTACGGTAGTTTTTAAAACTTATATATTCTTAAATTTATATATTCAAATATAATTTATATAGTCCTATAGTGAAAGTTGCCCGTTCCCGTAACGAATCTCCACCCCCTCCCTCCAAGGGGGCGCGCCCTACAGTTTGCGCACCATGGTGATAGACCACACATAAGGCAGCTAGTCAACAACTCCAGCTTTTCTCTGATCAAATAGAGATTTGACCGTCACTCTTCTAACACATCCACGGCTCCTATCTACGGAACAAGTTTGTTCGGCAACGTGTCGTGAGCCATGAACTCTCGATTTCATAATCCAACATACTATGCTCTAGACCACTCACAATCTCTAGTTTAAAAAAAAGAAAGAAACATCCTTGCTTAGACTACCATTTTTCTGTGAAAATCAATATCCGTTAAAAGTAATGTACGCTTTTCAAACAATAGTAGCAAAAACTTTGATTGCTGAGTGTTCCAAACTGCTCACGTAAGATATTTTCATTTCCTTGCAAGTTTGTTTCAGAATTTTCGTGCAATGTTATCTATGCTAGCCGTCTATAATTTTGGACAGACTATAAGAGTAACAACCAGACAACAGCACCTACCGCTAATTCTAATCTCACCAAATAGTGGAATTTGACTGTCAATTATATTGTATGGACGACTTAAAAGTGCGGAGCGTGTTTTTGCAGCAACTGGACAATAAATATAATCCTTGGATTCATTTTAAGAACGCTAGGCCCTAGGCCACAACCGGCACCCAATGTAGGCAGTAGAACAGAATAATTATTTGTGCATACGTCTTTAGCAGTTTAATTTTTACATACAAGATCGTATTTTCTACGATTGATCTTAAAAGATAGAGAGGGTTGAGTACGTTATATTAAAACAGTTTTGAATATGCAAATCAGCAGGTTACATAGCAATTACAGGTGATATAAAGTTCCGGTGGAACGGAGTGTATCAAAACTACATTTTGTCATTGTTTGGCGTTATGTAGATAGTTTAATGCTTCCAAAAAATGATCACTTTTAGGAAGGATATATATAACAGCCTTTTCGATGATTTATAATTTCCAAGACATAGATATCCCTTGTACTTAATGGCATTGGAAAATAAAAGAATATGGACTAACTTGGGTAACCAGGACCACCCAGAAAGAGACCTACAGCAAGTCGTACCCCAGCCATTTTAAACAAAGTGTAGCGTCTTATAATAGGTGAGAAACCTACAAACACAAAGATCAGTGGCAAAAGCCGTCCACGTGCTCCAGGCAACAGTACGCAACGTAACCAAGAAGGGTCTCCCTCTGGAAAAATCTTCACAAGTCACGTGTACACAAGATTCGCCAACGATATATCTGTTCAGCCGTAGTATACCTCAAACAATTGGAAAATGAAACTGTTATTTATTCTAGTCCATACGAAGACATACTGGCCGAGTCACCAAACGAAGCGCTTATGGATTTCTGTGCAATTGGAGTGTTGAAACGGGCGCTGGGAAATCGTCGTCTTCTACACTAGATGGTGTTGGAAAGTCAGCAGGGAGTAGTTTTGTCTTTTGACAGGACAACTTTACGATGGAGCCTTTTGCAACGGAAACTACGCTGCAGGACTATTGCCAAGAAGCACGACCGCCAGATGGAACGTTATTGGACGTGGCAACATGGACTGTAACGACGTGGTGAGGCTCCAAGACTAATTTAATATAACGTATTGAACCTCTCTATAATACGATGTCCTTGTACTAATTTCTTAATGTTATGTTTTAGGTGGCGGAGAGTGATTTCATACACCTGCCGTGGTTTGGAGTCAATGCTTAGAACTACACACTCACTGTACTACCTGGTGTAAACCAGGAAGAAAACGACTTACCTTTTCTGCACAAATTTACAAGATCTAGAAAACAATAGCTCTCTGAACATTTATCAATGCGTTAGGTGTAATTGTTACCTTCTCTGTTCATGAAATTAATCTTATTTCAGGTTTCTATTTTTGTAGCATTAAATAACGACAAAGCACCATTTACATAGCTCTCATTGTTAGCATAGCATATTAATTTATTATAAAGTTTGGCTTGTTTTGAATTTCGCGCAAAGCTACTCGAGGGCTATCTGCGCTAGCCGCCCTAATATAGTAGTGATAGACTAGAGGGAATGCAGCTAGTCAACATCACCCACAGCCAACTCTTTTACCGATAAATAGTGGGATTGACCGTCACATTATCATTATAACTACGCCCCCACCCCACCCCCGCGGCTGAAAGGGCGAGCATGT